TTTTTTTTTTTTTTTTTTTTTAAACACAGATGGGCCATTAAAACGATTGAGGGTTTAGGTAGCAAGAAAGATGGGTATCATACTCTACAAGCAGCATTGGCTGGGAAGAATGGTTCCCAATGTGGTTATTGTTCACCTGGAATGGTAATGAACATGTATAGGTATGATATGTATATATGATATTATTCAGTTGTAATAAATATATTACATTTTTATGAAAATAAAAGAAACTAATTACTTCCATGTTCTTTTAGTTTAATGCAAGGTAAAAAATTGACTATGAAGCAGATAGAAAATTCCTTTGGAAGTAATATATGTCGTTGCACTGGTTACCGACCGATTCTGGATGCGTTCAAGTCATTTGCCATTGATGCACCAAAATATCTTATTCAGGAGATCGAAGATATCGAAGTAGGTTGAGGATAACATTAAGACGAGCGTAATAATTTGTATTATTTTGCACTAACGAAACTTCAAAGATGAATAACAATTATCGATGAGCAAATCGCCACACGTTTATTATGATTCATTAGCGTACGGATATTTATGCAGATTCACAGATTAGTAAAAATAAATTAGTATCTTCTTCCCTTGCGTTACATATTCTCTATATTTTTTTTATTTCGATTTCTTTCTGATACTTTGATTAGTTATAGAAAATTGAAGCTTTATCAAAATTAAATTATTTAACAAATAAAGGAAATGTTATCCATTATCTCTTGTATGTCCTTTCGATCTCATTATTTAATCTCCTTTTGATAAAGCATTGTTTGTTATCTAGGAATTATTCAATGTAAAAACTTGCAAAAAAACTGGTTTGGCATGTGAAAATGAGTGCAATAATTGTCACACAATCATCCAGAATATAGAAGATAAGATTGATATGAAATTGGATGGTAGTCACTTCTATAAGGTTCTGTCAGTTGATGATTTATTTACAGTATTTAAAAATAATCCAAATAAAACTTATATTTTGAATGGTGGTAACACCGCACAAGGTAAATTATTAATAACCACTATTTTATTCCTTGTTTTAGCTATCGTATTACTTTTATCATATAGTCTTCATATCCACATACCTGAAACATTTTATTTAGTGCATATTTCCTTTTTGCAGGTGTATATCGATTGATGCATACACCGGACATAATCATCGATATTAACAATATACCTGATTTGCGTAATATAAATAAAACTAGCACCTCTTTAGTCATTGGAGGAAATGTTTCACTTACTGTGGCAATGGAAACATTTGAAAAGTATTCGAAAGCATCAGATTTCGAGTATCTGCAACATTTGGCCAAACATGTTGATTTAATTGCCAGCGTTCCAGTGAGAAATGTAAGTAAATATGTTCAACAGCGTACGATGAATATCAATCATCTCTTAGTGATGAAATTTTGTATCTCAGGTTGGATCCATAGCAGGAAATTTAATGATCAAGCATGCGCATCGGGAATTTCCATCAGATTTGTTTTTGATATTGGAAGCTGCAGGAGCGCAACTACATATAGGTAACTGAGAATATTAGATAGAATTTTGTCAAATATCTGAACGTCAATAGAAGGTATATATCATAAATATTTTCTTTGACAAACAGTGGAAGCTGATGGTAAAAAGACCAGCATGACTACATTGGAATTCTTGGATTTAGACATGACACACAAAATTATATACAGTGTGGTATTACCGGCACTTGGCAAGGAATACGAGTACAGATCTTACAAGGTATGTACATATTCTTTTTTGTATCGATATTTAAAATAATTAAATTGCATGAGACAGTAGTCGTCAGATGAATTTATTGGACTGTGTAGATAATGCCACGAGCACAGAATGCTCATGCTCACGTGAATGCGGGATTCCTGTTCAAATTGAATGGGGCTGGGAAAGTTCTCGAGCAACCAAATATCATATTTGGCGGAATAAACAAGAATTTCGTAAGTGAAGTTATTATCTATCAGTCAAAATTGCTTTGACAAGGTGAAAATTGAAGGAATGTGTTTAAATCAGGATTAACATTTCCAGCTGCATGCATCGGACACTGAAAAGTTCTTGAATGGAAAATCTATCTTCGATAAGGAAGTAGTCAAAGAAGCTTTGAATAGATTAGACAATGAACTTCATCCTGATTATGTGTTGCCTGATTATTCTCCAAAGTTCAGGAAGATGCTTGCGGAAGGGCTTCTGTTCAAGGTTTGTGTCGCTGGATGACAATGATTAAAATTCTGAATGATGAGATTTTTTCAACTCAACGAGACATGAAATTGTTCTCTTTCTTTTGCAGTGCTTTTTAAGTATCAAGCCTGAGAATGCGAATCCAAAAGCACGCAGTGGTGCATCTATTTTGGAGCGTGGATTATCATCAGGCAAACAGAACTTCGAAACTGATAAGAATATATGGCCTCTGAATCAGCCTTTGCCGAAATTGGAATCCATAAATCAAACATCTGGGACGGCTCAATATGTGAATGACATTCCACCATTCCCCAATGAAGTTTTCTGTGCTTTTGTCCTTACCAAAGTAGCCAATGGGAAAATAAATAAAATCGATGCTTCCGAAGCGCTGGTATTATTTTTTACTACCAATTTGTTCGATAAAAGATATCTTTGAGCTCGTTAATTCTTAATCTTATTTATTTATTTACAACTCGGGATGTATTTTTTTTTTAGAAAATGAAAGGAGTAATTGCTTTCTATACCGCCGAAGACGTTCCTGGGAAAAATTTATTCATACCAGCAAGCGCTCAACTACAAATGTTACCCTTTGATGAAATAGTAAGTTATGAGCGAAATTAACATTTTTATAAACGCAACTAAAACAGTGAGAACTAGATAAAAATTTGTTTCGTACGTATAAATGTCGTAGCAAGTATTGTATTTTAAATGTTTTGTACATTTCTACGTTTTAAAAATTCGCAATCTACTTACAAGTGTCTAAAATTTTTACTTACGTGCTTGTTGCGTTTCAAGCTGTTTGCAGACAAGAATATCGAGTACGCTGGACAACCGGTTGGTGTGATCGTCGCGACAACTTACACAATTGCCAATAAAGCAGCGCAAAAAGTATATGTATCTTACGTCGATGTCGCGCCCGAGAAACTGTTGTTAACAATTGAGGATGTGCTTATGTCTAAAGACGAATCCAGGCTACTTCAATCATTTAACTCTAAAGCGACGGACAAAGGTGTTGTAACGAAATATTTATTTCAAAGGAAACATTTGATCGCATTCCCTTCCTACATAAAATGAATTTGTTTCATTTGTGTGATTACTACAAAAATTACCACGCTTTTTTAAATCGATGTTATTGTTTCTAATTAAATCTTGTAGGAAATGACATGAAGCACGTAATAAAAGGTGAATTTAGATGTGGAAGTCAGTATCATTATACTATGGAGACTCAGACTTGCGTCTGTGTACCAATAGAAGACGGTATGGACGTTTATTCATCAACCCAGTTCGTCGATCTGACCCAAGTAGCCATAGCTGAGTGTCTTGGGGTAAAGAACAACAGGTAAGATATTTGTTACAAGCTTTATTATAAAGTTTTAGCGGCTAAAACATTGTTAATCAATTGTAATAACAATACATTTTATTTGTTATAGCATTAACATAAATGTGAGAAGGTTGGGAGGTGGTTACGGCGCGAAAATATCGCGTGCGACGCAAGTGGCATGCGCTTGTGCATTAGTATGCTACAAGTTAAATCGACCGGCTAGATTTATTATGTCGATAGAAGCTAACATGCAGGCTATCGGAAAGCGTTATGATACTCGTCAGGAGTATGAAGTCGCCGTAGATAACGATGGTCGCATTCAGTATATGAATGCAAAGCATTGGGAAAACAGCGGCTGCAATTTCAATGAATTTCATGCTCCTACATCGGGGGAAGCTTTCAGAAGGTGAATATTTAAATATACATTGTAATACATCTAGGTTTAAGGAAGTTAACTTAACTTCCGTTCCGGGGGGATTTCAGTTGTTACGATTACTCTACCTGGACTTATCAAGGCTTCGAAGTTAAAACTGACTTACCTTCCAACACTTGGTGTCGAGCTCCAGGTATTTCAACTCGTCAGTGAACGACAAACATAGCAACATTCTTCCTAAATTTAGGTTTTCTAATTGTTGACAGGTTCGGTCGAAGGTATAGCAATGATAGAAAACATAATGGAGCACATAGCAAAAATTATTGGGAAAGATCCATTGGAAGTTAGGTATGCGAATATGCTTTCAGAGCACAAGGAATCATTGAAACCTATGATAGATCAACTGCTTGAAAACGCGGATTACGAGATGAGAAAGATAGCTGTAGACTCTTTCAATAATGTAAGAATGTTCGAATGATTCATAGTATACAGTATATGATTCATAGTATAAAATGAAACATCAATCAATTAAGCGGTTATGTAATTTTTTATAGGAGAATCGATGGAAGAAGAAAGGAATAGCTTTGCTGCCTTTCATGTATCCCTTCTCTACTTGGGGACAGTTTCATGCACTTGTTTCAGTTTACGCCCGAGATGGCACAGTCTCAATTACTCATGGAGGAATTGAGTGCGGCCAAGGAATTAATACCAAGGTACTGGGAAATATGTTAATACAAAGCTTGTTCAACAGTAAAATTCTTTTTCTCTTCATTCTTGTAGGTAGCTCAAATAGCAGCACATATATTGGGAATCGATTTGTCGTTAGTTACTGTAAAATCAACCAATAATCTGACATCTCCAAATAATTCTGTTACTGGTGGTAGTGTTACTAGCGAAACTTGTTCATATGTAGGGCTTATTTTCACTTATTATTACGTTATTTATAAAAATTTGTATAGTTGTGTTTAAAATGTACATATGTATTTTCATAATTTTAGGCAACCATGATGGCTTGCAAAGAACTGATAAAGAGACTTGAACCTATTAAGAAAGAGCTGGGGAACCCTTCGTGGCAAGAATTAGTATTTCAAGCATATTCAAAAGATGTTGATTTATGTGCTCGATACATGTACCTGTTTCTAATAATTCGATACCTATAGATATTATATATTCTCTAAATATTTATTTTGTAGGTTCACTGTAAAAGATGATATCAAATCTTATCCGATTTATGCAGCGAGTGTAGCGGAGGTTGAAATTGATTTGTTGACTGGGCAGCATATAATACACAGAGTAGATATAATTGAAGATGCTGGAAGAAGTATGAATCCAGAGCTAGATTTAGGGCAAATAGAAGGTGCCTTTGTGATGGGTCTCGGGTACTGGACTTCCGAGGATCTGATTTATGATCCCAAAACTGGTCAACTGACGAATGACAGAACTTGGGTGTGTTATTGATTTTATTTTATTTAATATAAATATGGAGTTTCAAGAATTATAGTCGTGTAAGTCTATTACTAATTCTCATAAAACATTTGTTATTGCGAAGAATTTATTATACTTTTTTGTCATGAAAACTCGGCAGAAAAAAAGATATAACTATGAAATAAAAGTGGTAATACTTCTAAAATTTGAAATATTTGATCAGATATAAATTTTCTTTAAAAAAAATCTTGATTTACACTACTTTACGTATAGGAGGGAACCTTGAAAAGTAGAAAATATGTTTGTTTTTACAGAATTACAAACCACCAGGCGCCAAGGATATTCCTGTCGATTTTCGGATTTATTTCCGGAGAAATACTTCCAATCTACTAAGCGTTCTTCGTTCAAAAGGTAAAATAATAAATTTAGAAGAATGGTTAACAATTTTAAATCTAAAATGTTAATTTATTAAATATTATAGCTACCGGTGAACCACCGTTATGTCTGAGTTACGTGATACTTATTGCGATTCGTAATGCGCTTAATTCAGCAAGGAAAGACGCTGGGGACAAAAATTCATGGAACAGACTAGGTAATGAAAAAAATTCTCTTGTAATTTCATTAGACTTGAATTGAATTTGATGTGGAGATAGAAAACATAATGTAATAATATAATCTAATTATAATTGTCTTTCTTTATAGATGGCCCTGCTACTACCGAGAAAATATTATTGAACAGTTTAACCAGCAAAGAACAAATGGTATTTTGAAATAAAAATTTATTTCTAAATAAAAGGCACAATACTTTGTTATTAAATGTTTATCACAAATTCAATTGTATGTCATCATGTACAATTATTTATAATAAATAAATGCCATTCGTGAAATAATGATACATTTGTCCAATAATATATTTTTATATAATATGATATAAAGTTTATATTATATTTATATATATATATATTAATAATATAATAAAATTTATATTAATATTATATTTTTATTATATTCATATAATATGTACTATATAACATGATAATATGATATGCAATATATAATTTTTAAAATCCATACATTAATTATTTAATTATTATTTAAATTCCCGCGTAAAAAATCGGTGCAAAAAGTTTGCAAGAAATTACCCATAAATCTGTGTAAAATCATACAGTGATGTATCTTGTTCATAAAGAACCTGCATACACATAAATAAAAGGAAGTAATTTATGTCCGTAGAAATTGTAGAAAGATCATTATATTTACCTAAAAATATAATTATTTCATCAATAATTCGTTAATAATTATCAGATTGTTGTAATAACAAAAACAATTAAAAAGGATTTAAAATTCGTAGGTTTGATACCGCAATGCGCGCGGCACTGTTACCGAGTGCGCAGTAGCAAATTTTTAAGTTCCTGCGCAGTCAACTGGGCTTCAGTTTGCGCGCGGCAGTCTAGGAGTGAGTGTCGTTGTATGTTTCTGCGTTTCTTTTCCTACGGTTTCCGAGAAATAGACCGGCGTGAAGTGATAATATCTGTTCCTATAGCGTGGAAATACTGCAGAACGTAAGAAATCATCGGCAGAGTGCATGTTGTGGCCATGGAAAGAGTCCTGGAACGTCATCGGTAAGTGACGCTATCTCTGACTACGTAGTTTTCATAATTCGAATATCGTACCTTTATACTATTCGATTTAAATATCGTCGAAAATGTAATTTTGGAAGTAACTGAAAATTTTCTTAGAATACGTGTACGATATGTACGTTAATTATAATTTGCATCTTTTTCACTGACATCTTGAATCTTAACCTTACTAGCGTTCATTCAAAATGGTGTATGTTCCGCCATGTTATCCCGCGCGGCTTTTTTGGCGGTTAGAAAAGTAACGTGAATTTCAAACGTGTGTTTCTTCGTGAATGAACTTTTCAACAGAGAAATCAAAATCTTTCACAACTTCGATAAAATTTGTTATATAGCACATGCGTACGAATTAGAAATGTTAAATATTTGAAATCTTTCCGAAATACTTGTAACCAGAATGTATCGCGAAGTTGTCAGTTCGAAGTTGATATTTTTTCAATGTAAATTTTTTCGAACGAACAAAATTTTTACTTTTTGCAAATAACCTTTCATCTTTTTAAATTTTATGAAAGGTCAATTTGTTTTCATTGAATCCTTTTTATTAAAAATGTAATTTATGTTTTTCACAATTTTTGTTGGAAACTCCGACAGTTCGTGATCCATGAAGTCGTAAATGCATATTTATGAATACTGTATTCTTCAGCAACGTTTTAATCTCATCTATGTTAATATATAACCGGATGGTGTAATTAGGCGTGTTACATTCAGGAACGCTAATCACATCTTGAATATAATCATTTGAATAATCAGTTGGTTTATGTTCGTATACTTACATTTACATGTTGCTCTGATGGTAAACAGAGAACTGCAAGTAGGTGGGCCGATGCGGCGGGAAATTTGAATTATCTAAAAATTCAAAAGTGAATGTACGTTATATCGCGATATCATAGTAACATTATTCATTAGAGTTTACGTGCTCTATATATTTTTGATACATATAAATTTTGCTGTTGATAATATACGATCGTTTTTAGAACTTCATTTTGTTTAGCAGATCACACAGAATATTTATCTAATAATTAAGCACTTTCATTTGAGCTTAAAGCAATTTCCACGTATATCTATTTCGATCTCATCCTATAGAGATTGTCTGATAAATGACAATATGAACGGACTGTTAGAGTTTCAAGAATTCTTTTATTCCGCGGAATGTAGAATAAATCTTTTTAAATGCCAGCTGAAAGTGTCACAATCTTTCGAACTTGTACGCAAACGTTTCGAATTAGATAATTGGAAAAATTTAGGGACGCGAGTTGGACAGATTGAGAAATAAATTTGAAAATGAGAATTTCAAATTGCGCGAAAAGGGATGGTGTTAAAGAGTTAAATTCAATGGTGAAGTTCGTTATCGGCTGAGACAGGTGCGGCAGGCACGTCGAGGTTAAAAATCCCTTCGCTAGGTGGCGCCACGCAAACCTTATCTAAACAGATAAAAATCTCACGTACTTTTACCTTCCTTCAGCGAAATGTGATATCAAATAGGTTATGTCACGACAAATGGAGAGCTCGTGACTTTTTGATTATCATTGATTAGACAGCCAAACAAACACACACACACACGATGTACACACAGAGAGAAAGAGACGTCATAGGAACTATTTAATTACGTCTGGCGTATAAAAAAATTAACATTTTCCCTGTTCAGTGGAAACAAACGTTCGTGGAATTGGTGGTGTCGGCCGTTTGACGTCAGTATTTGTTGCTCGTCGCCGGTGACAAAGTAAAGTTAATTGTATTAATTCCCCGCAATAAAATTACTCCCGCCGTACATGCCTGCGAAATTAATGGCGGCATAATTTTAATGTACACGTTTGAACGACACGCGTGACGTCAAGGCGACGTCGTTTCGATGAGAACCTGTTTGAACTGGAATTACGTGATAGCGTATCGTTATTTCTCTAGAGTGCTTCATATAAACATTTTTTCCTTTTTTCTTTTTTTTTCTTTTTCTTTCTTTCTTAAGCTTGCCTCTAACGTTAAGAATCTCCGGAATATATCACAGAGAGAAAAGTCGTTTAGAAGAATATTTGCCTTCTTTGCGAAGCCGGAGAACCGGGTGCCTGACACAATGAAAGTTCAATAACGAAATCTTCAGTTTTCTCAATGATGAAATTAGAAATTTCCTTGACGACGAAACTTAAATAACATTGACGAGAGGATCGTATATACTGGTGCATCGTACGTTCTTTTTTCGCGAATTTTTATCGATAAAATTGCACGTACGAATTTTCGAACGTACATTTCTCGATTATCGCGGGATCAATTGATGGACGGGGTACGTGTTATTTATAATTTATTGGAGTAAGGCGCACAATCGAACGGGCCAGTTGGAGGAGCGGTGAACACCGTCGGAGGAAGGGATTGGGGGGACTTGATGAATTTTTCTTGGCAGAAAATGTTTTGAGGTTTTGGAAGCATCCTCGGGCATGCGCGCGGCCACCGCGTTCTGCAGAGGCGATCAAAGATCACCGCTCTTAATGCGGTCGAATCGGCCGATTTTCTTTTGGACAAAACGGCGAAATTCTCTGCGGCGGCAGCGTTTATATCTAGGGTGACAACATCGAATTATCGCGCGAGTCGTTCGTCTGGCACAGGGACAACTTACGCTCCCCCCTTCCCCCTAAAAAAAAAAACTGAAAATGAAAATTACAAGTTTTTCTTCAAATTTTACAATTTCTTAAGTTCCACGTTGCGTTCAAATGACGTGTGTTATGGAAGCAGTTGTTGAAATAAGAAGAAAGAGAGAGTTGAAAAAGAAATAAGAAAAAAAGAAGAAGAAGAATGCAGTTGGAAATATTTGAAAAGCGGTGGTTCGCGTACGCGTAGGATGGGTCAGGGACTCGGGCGAACTTAATTGCGTGATCTCTGCGGCATTTTCTCGGCCGGCGTTAAAATTCTGCGAATCTGCTCGCTCTAGAAGCATCATCGAGAGTTATTAAGAAATATCATCGAGGTGGATCGTACGAGATCCATATCCCCTCCCCCCCTCCGCCCGGAAGGTTTCAAGTTTTTTTCAACGTTCCTTCGAGTATGCGCGCTCCTCGACCGTTCCGCAAAAGAACGAGGGGCGAACGGGGCGGAGGGAAGTGAAGCATAACCGGTCACAGTGCGCGCACACGCACGAAAACCTCTTTACGCGTCCGTGTGTACAATAATCATCGTTCGGAAGTAAAATCTCGTTGAATAATTCTCCCAAAAGGGAAAAGAAAAAAAGCACATGTATTATATATATATATATATATATACATAGCACATGTATTAATACATACATATAAGCACATGTATTATATATATATATATACATAGCACATGTATTAATACATACATATAAGCACAT